GGAGCAGGAGTTGTGTCACTTTCCGTCACGGACCGCAGACGGACCAGGGGTCCCTGACACGGGTTGCGTCCAGCTCTGCTCCTTGTGGGTCATCTTGTCTCCACATCTAAAATGGGGATCATGTGTGCACACCGTAGGGTTGACTTCAGGGTCAACAAGGATGAGAACATGTAAACCCACAGCACAGCCTGGCCCCGTGGCCGTACAGTGGCCTGTGCCGACTGCTTACCCACGGTGCACAGACAGGCGGACACAGCTGTCTGCTCCGGGCTGTTCCCTTCGCTGACTAGCTGGGTACGGGGCTGCAGGTGCAGCTCCTGGAAAGGGCAAGGCGCAAACCAGAAAGAGCGCAATGAAGAAGGGAGTGCAGGGTGGGTGGCGAGGAGAAATAGCGGTTGCCTCACGTCACACGTTGTCTCCTTAGAGTCATTCTGAGCTCGCATAATGCGGTGTCGCATGCTAACATTGCACCTCGTGTGACCATTGAACTTCTGCCAAATTCATCGGTCCTGTAGTTTAAATCTTAACACCTCTTCACCCTCATAGATCTTGTAAACTCTGTAAAAAACTGTTGGGGGACTTTCCCCCGCTAACTGAAAGCTCTACATCTGGGCTGCAAAGATAGCACCACTATCCCAGCCAAAGATAGACCGGTGCGAGGCTCCTCTAAATGCAGATTTCTTTTGTCCTGGTGACAGGGCTGTCAGTAAGAGTGACACCTCCAGTCTTCCTCCCCTGCACGTGGGCGGGCCACTTAGAGTCTGAACACTATTAGGTACTGACAACCTTTTTGCTGTGTATGGAGAGAGAGAGAGAGAGAGAGAGAGAGAGAAGTGGCCGGAGGGGGAAAGAAAAAGTCAGAGAAAGAGAAAACGGGTCGCCAGCATCACCCGGTGTGCCCGAGCACAGGAAGGCACCGTGGCGTTGCCTCGACCATGCATTAATGAGCGGGAGGTGGGGGGTTTCTGAGCCCCGCCAAACCTTGCGGTGTCCAGCAGCCCCATGGGGCCATCTCATTAGGAAGCCAGTGGACAGCCCCGCTGCCATGTGCGGTGTCACGCCGGCAGCAAGCGCGTCTTGATCAATGTGCTTGTCAACTGCCTTCGGGCTAGGAGACAAACTGGAGAAAATGTTTGTGATGTGGCCAAAAGATGGCCCAATTTGGGTTTCCTAATGTGTTTTGGCTCCTTGAAACAAGAGAATATCTGATGAGTGTGAGAGGCCAGTGTGCAGATGGAAGTCCCATCCACTCCGTTTTCTCTGGCGTGTGGGCGTGTAAGGCCTTCCTGGCAGCCTGAACTCGGAACTGTGCCGTCTGGGGCATGGTGGGCCGATTTCCGGGAGAGGAAGGAGGCCTGGCCTTGGCTCACGGACCCTGGCCCAGGTGAAGCTGGAGCAAGGGGATCCACTTCAACGGACAGCTCACTGTTTGGGAGGCGAGGGACACCGTGCAGGCGGCAGCCCTAGGATGTGTGTCATCTGGCTGCAGGGAGCCGCCCTGATTCCCCCAGCTGGACATCGTCACGTCACTGAACTTCCCTGATGATACACTTCCAAGTGCAGGTTCTAGTGTCTGTGGCTTAGCTTGCACTTCAGTCCGTCCCCTGTGTGAAGACAGGCCCACGTTCGCCTCGCTCCCCCTGCAGAATGTGGTGAAGAGCATGGCGCACAGCAGCGCTGGCGCTGGCGCTGGGGAGGGTCATGGGGTCATGATGGCGATGGCGCTCGTGACGGCGGTGCCGGCGGTGCTGGTGGCGAGAACACGTCCTCTGAGCCCTGGGCCAAACCAGGCACTTTTACCTGTACCCCCCCCCCCCAATCCTCACAACTGCTTTAAGAGAAAAAAGCAAATTATTTTCCAGGTCTTGCAGATGGTAACAATGAAGCTCAGAGAGGTTCGATAGTTTGGCCGCAGTGGCGCAGGCTGCACAGAGCTGTGCTGACGGGATTGGGCCTGTCTCCCCACAAGCCTTCCGTCCCCTTGCTGACTGACACTTCCTCGTTCTGCTGGCGCCTGGGGGACGTCCGGGTGAGCGGGTTCTCTCCTTGCATGGACTCACCGCGGGGTGAGGAATGTGCCTGAAGCAGTTCCATCCCACTGTGCACGTCAGGAGCCTTTGGCGGCTTTTCTGAGGTGTCCGCACGCACAGATGGGCCGCGCCACGGTGCCCAGCCTCGATTTCTCTGACATACAGTTAGAAGAACTAACGTGCCGGGAGTGGCCATGCCGTGTGCTGGCAAGTGGCCAATTTTCATGCTTTTAGGTTGCTAATTTCCACATTTGGGCAACTACAGTGTTAAAAATTATTCACCATTACCTTCGAAACCGGACGTCATAGGTTGGTTCCATTAAAGCTTTAAACCATTATAAAATCGGGAGTTTGAGAACGAGTCACAGAATTTTAAACTCTGAGCTGAACGTGGAATAAAAGTACATACAGATGGATAGCTTGTCCTCAATGGGGCTACGGATTTCCTGCTGCTTGAAAGAAAATAAGGTATGAGCAGGTGAGGTAACAACAACAGCAATAGCAGTAGCAGCCACCAGCACTTCTGAGATCATTGCTCATGCTTTACAGGCGACTTAGATGTTAAACAAGTCCTCAAAGCAAAGGCCATGGTGCATGCAGCAGGGGAGGTAGGATTCAACCCGGGCAGCCCTGCCCTGCAACCCACTCTGTGTGCTGTTCTCCTTTCAGCGTGAACCACATGGGAGGAAGCAGCAAGGAGAACACTTTGCTCACTGCTCACCTCCCCGCTCCCAGCCTCTTGGTCCTGAGGTCGGCACCCTCACCCGGAGGCCACCAGCTGCCGTCTCAGGCGGGCCGTGGTTTGCAGAGCGCCTGCCCTGAGCGGCGAGAGCTGGGTGTTCTGTTGTTCCATGGCCTCCGTGGTTTGTACTACCCACTGACATGCTCTTTGCCCTCCCTCCTCACTTTAACTCGGTTTGGAGCATAAACACCCAAATAGGCCGTTTATCCCCATCTACTGGGCAGACTGCGTCGTGCTGGGATCTGCTGCGGGCTGCATCCAGCCTGGCCCGCCCTCGCCCGGAGCCCTCCACATTGGCTCCAATAAAAGCCCCTTGAGTCAAACTGGCAGGTTGGCTGCACTTGTGGCGAAGACAGGAGAGATGCCTGTGGACACATTAATGAGGGGTTTGGGCGTGGATCCCAGCCCCCAGCACAGTGACCTGGCTGGGTATTCAGAGACCACAGATCTGAACAGGGGTCAGGCGGAGCCAAAGACTGACGCTCACACTCCATTTGTGGGAATCGCTGGAGGGGATGTTTGTTGTGGAGCATTTTATTTCTCTCTTGTGACTCTGAATGTCTCTTTTCTAAAGGAAAAGTGTTGATTTCAGTGAGTACTTGGACAAACAATTCGGATGGCAGCTAAAATCTCATCGTTTTAGAAATAAAACAATCCTATTGTTTTATTTGACAAAAGAAAATGGAGTCTCAAAAGGTCAAGTGATTTGCCCAAGTCCAAATGTGAGAACGGAAACTAGAACCCGCACCAACCCCAGCTGCCTGATTTCCCGCTTGCCGCGCCAGAGGCCATCCTGGGAGGCTGGACCCAAGCCAGACCTGGGGGACTGAGCCGCTTGTCTTAAACCCGTGATGATGGCTGCACCTCTCCCTTATATCCCCAGGCACATGCTCCATTGACTCCATGTTGACCGTCTGCTCGGGGGAGGCACAAGTAGAAAGTGTCAGTGGGCAAGCTGTTTAAAACGTGCGACCCATGGACCCCACGCACAGTGTGCAGCGAGCTCTGAGGATGCCCTGGGGCAGGAGTCGCCTTCCGGAGACTCAGAGTTGGAAGTCCCTGCTTGTCTGTGCAGGGTCGGCGGTGCCATCACCGCAGGCAGAAGAATGTGACTTCTGTTGTTTTTCTAGCTGTCCCAGAACTAAGAACACCCGGCCTGGCTTTGCCTAGTGGCAAAGCAAAGCATGATGAGAATACATCCCCCCAGAGACCTTGTGAAAGGGGCAAGGGGGAGACGTAGGTGAGGCTTCACGGATGGCCATGTGGACCAGGTCGTGGATTCACTGTTGTGTGTCATTACCCCAGACACCCCGGCGATTTCCCTGGTGCAGGAGGTTGCTGTTAAGGGACACGGGTATGGGAGTGATTTAAGGAATCAGCAAAACCACTTCCTACCCACGAGGGGGCCATGATAACAAGGATGACTGAGTGGCCAGTGCAGCTGAGGACGTGGGGGAAGTGGAGCCGCACGCGTTGCCGGAGCAGCCGCGCTGCAGACCCGCGGGCCGGGCCCTGCTAAGTCACACGCAGAGTCACACCACCACCCAGCAATCGCATGTCCCGAGGCGTGTACCCCCGAGAATGAGGAACACCTGCCCGCATAAAAGCAGGCCTTCGAACGTCCACAGCACCATTGCTTGTGTTGGTCCCAAACGTCCAACAGCCAATGAATAAACAGGCAAAATGCGTGCTGCCCTCCACCCAGGTTATTTTGCAGCCATAAAAAGGAATGTAGCCCCGACACACGGCGCGGCACACCTTGCAAACTATGCTGTGTGAGGGAAGCCAACACGCAGGGCCGCCTAGGGCAGGATTCCATTTATGTGAGATGTCCCACAAACCCACAGAGACAGAGTAGATGAGCGGTTGCCAGGGCAGGGAGTGGGTGAGGAAGAATGGGGTGTGAGCCTGGAGGTTCTGTTTGGGGTGATTAGAATGTTCTGGAGTTAGTGTCATGGTGGAATAGCATGTGGTATTTGCACAGCTACACTGAAACAGCAGAGCTGGGTGGATTTCATAGTATGTGAATTAGTCTCAAAGCTGCTATTAAAGACCAGTGCAGCAGTGCCCGCAGCCTTGGAACCTGGTCCGGGGTCGCGCCCGTGCTGGGTGTGCATCCCAGGTGCCTGGCGCCGGTCAGGGCCTTGAAAGTCCAGACCACGTGTCATGCCAGCGCGTGGCTGGTAACAGAGACTCACCCACTGCTGTTTCGTCCCCCGCCCCTGCAGGGTGAGGACCCCCTGACCGACAGTGCGCTGACCTACGTGGACCAAACGTCGGCTCTGACCTACGCCCCTGCGTCCCGGGACGGGCGCCCTGTGGGCCACCCGCCGCAGCCCCTCAGCAGGCCCCAGCCTGACGAGCTCAGCCCCAAGGGGGATGGCAGAGTGGACAAGCGGAACGTCCTTGGGCAGCTGATGTTCTACTTGGCTTATAGGCCCCCCTCACCCACCAAGAAGGGCCCCCTCACGCCTTACGACCTTATGCGCATGCCTTGGAGGGAACCCCAGAAACGGCTTTCGCCGCCAGAAGACCCCACCGATGCCCCAGGCCTGGATGATGGTAAGCCAGCCTCCCCGCCCCCTCTGGTGTTTTTGTTGTCAACTCCGTCCATCTTTCTGGCACCTTCCCAGCGCTAGTCCCCCACTGCATCCTGGGTGGGGCAGGCGCCAGGCACCTGTGAGAAGGGGCGCCTTCGAGCTGTGCTCCTCCCTGTGCTGCGGCAGGAGGGGAGGCGGTCAAGTGCGCGGGCGAGTTCCGCAGCAGGGGCTGCAGGGCGGGGTGGATCGCCCCCTGGTGGACCGGTGCTCACAGGCGCTTAAACTTCACGGGAAACAGGTGGGCCCGTGGCCGGCTCTGGCCCCAAGTTGGATGGCTGCACGGTGTTCTGGAAGGTGGACTATGAATGCTCTAGGTTCGGCCCGTGCGGTGACTTCGCCACACGCTCACCGCTGCTGTGCTCACACTCACGCCCAGCTCCCACGTGTATGCTTTTTTCCCTTGTCCCCAGAGGCACCCAGTGTGAGACAAATGCCACTCGCCATGCACTGCCTGCACTGTGTGGCCTGCCGTGGGCCTGATGCTCTCGGGAGTGGCACCGGGGCTCTCAGCCTGGTCAGTGGGTTGGGCCCCTGTCGGGCTCGTCTGAGGGAGAAGGGCATTTACTGGCTCCTGCTCCTCTCTGAGGCACAGAGGGCTCTGAGCCATTCACTTTCTAAGAGCTTTCTAAGACCATGAAGTGCAAAATGAGATTCTGATAAAATACACCTTCTCCTTTGAAGATCTGCAAACAATAAAATGAAGCAGGTAACAGGTTTTAAAAAACACATTGACCGAGAATCACATTCATATTAGCGTTCTATTTTTGGAGGTCTGCTACACGTCGTTGCTTTTCAGCGAGGTAGCGCGCCCGCTCTCTGCCCATACGGCGAAGTGAAAGAAATGCAAAGTTGTGATTAGAGGGGCCGTGCGAGGCCATTGCCAGTGCTTTCTCCCCTGCCTGTCTGGGCCAAGAGAGGCGCGTGAGACACGGCTCACGCCCCCGACTAGGAGCCGCCCGCACAGAAACACGCCATCGGTGGGGTTGGCACTGCCAGGGGTCGCTCCCCAGGGTGGAGTTTTCCCTGCGGGGGCAGTTTTCTTCGCTTTAAACCGTGCACTCCCCTGAGGCTTCTGTAGGCCTGGCCACCGCCTTCCGTGCTCCCACGGTCACGGCACCCGTCACTGCCCTCCCCCGCTGGTGTGCTTCCCGGTGGCCATTGTGTTTCTGGCCTTGCCCGCTCAGCACGGCCTCACACCTCTGCCGCAGAGCCCCCGATGAAGGGCACCCCGCCACTGGGGGGCACGCAGCGCTGCGTGCAGGCCCCTGGCCCCGTCCGTGGTGCTGGCCACCCTCTCCTGTCCCTCCGCTTCGGTGCACCTGCTCACGTGGGGCTAGCCTGTCTTTAACAGCTGCTGCTTTATTGCGTTACCATCTCCCACAACTTAAAAATCCTGGCATGGACAACCTCCGTCTTTGTTACTGAAAGAGGTAATACTGCTGCCCACCAAAGGGACTCAAATCTGCCAGGAAGCTGGGTGGTGCCAGAGAGAGGTCACCTGCTCCATGGGTCTCTTTTCATCTTCTCACATCCTCCTTGAAAATTCTCTCTCCCCCTTTTTTTTAACCCTCACCTGAAGACAAGTTTTTTATTGATTTGAGAGAGGGAGTGAGAAACATCGATCAGTTGCCTCTTCTATGCGCCCCGTCCGGGGATGGCACCTGCAGACCAGGTATGCGCCCTGCCCAGGGATCGAACCCACAGCCTTTCAGTGCATGAAACAACGCTCCAACCTACTGAGCCATGTGGCCAGGGCCCAGTGACCCCCCTGGACTGCATAATTTGGTTGGTGTTTATTCCTGGGCTACGTTACAAAGTTGGTTATCTTTTTACGTATAACATTTTCCCGACCACACCGAGTGCTTCGAGGGGCACGATGTAAAGTGTCCGTCACAGAAGAGAGGACATGTGTCCCTGGGCCTCAGCAGGCAGCAGCCCCCAGGCCCCCTTGTGCCTCTGTGAGCCCGGCCCTCGAGCGGTGTCCCCTGACGGAATGGCGGAGCTGCGTTTTGCTGGAAGATGAGCCCGACCACGACAGCCTGCCCCATCCTAAAGTCTGTCCTAGAGTCGTCACAGCACCAAATACCTCATCAGCGTCAAATTTCTCAGTTGTCATAATTTTCTTTCCAGTTGGTTCTGAATCAGAATACAAAGGTCCACTGAGTTGGTGGATACATCTGGTAACCCCTTTTAATCAACAGAAGGTTTCTCCACCCTCTTTCCTCGCAATTTATGTATTTATTTTAGAAACTGGTTCACTTGTCTCATAGTTGTGCACCTTCTGGATTTTGCTGATTGCGTCCCAAAGAAAACATACAGCTGTGTATTTCCTGGACCTGTGTATGTCCAGAAACATGACCACTTTCATTCAATGTTTAGCAAAAGGGCTTCAGAGATGGTGACGTGTCTTTTCGTGAGGAGGACGCTGTCTCCGTGTGTCTTACTTTGTCACGCTGACAGGGTGGGCCACTCAGCCTGCCTGGCAGATTGCACCTGGGCTGTCGGAAAAGCGCTCGACCCCCAACGAGATGAGCAGCGCCCCCACCCCAGGCTGTGCCCTGTCCTCCCCTCCAGAACACGCCAAACGGCCGCAGTTGCGCACTCGTTTGATTATTTGATCAGAGCTGGGGAAGCCAGCAATCGTGTCTCTCTCTCATCGTCCGCATCCCAGGGTCCAGCACGTGCCGGGCACGGTGTTTGCTGAGTGAGGGAATAAGTTCTTACGCACAGAGGGTCTCGGATGGTGTTTCCTTCAGCCTTGTTTTTCTGACAAGGAAACTGCAGCTTGAGAGGGTAAATGATGTCTTGTCCCAACATCGGATCGTTTGAGACAGAGGTGGAGTCCTTACAAGCCAACTGTCCAAAATCCAGGTTTGAACACAATATCCTTTGTTACTCCAGCAAATTGGTCCTGGACGCTAATGTTTGAAATGGCCTTAGAGCTCCAGATTCTCTCTTTAACTGTTCCTTGTGCGCATGTTCCCTGTTGAGCTGGTAGCAGGGGCAGTGGCATAGACAAGATCACCTGGGTACAGACTCCTCCCCTTTCGTGTGGAATGAAAATGGACAAGAAAAGACCAGCTTCTCTAAATTCACGGTCCAGGGTCCTCCGAAGTTTCCCTCTCCGAAACCGTTCCCTGCGGGTTGTAACCGATGGCCAACAATAGCAGACACCGGGCCGTTTCCCACCACAGCCTAGGAAGTGCTCGTGCCGTTCGGTACGGCCACCCCAGGCCCTCGTGAGAAGCCCAGACAGAGCCACTGCCCCAGCACAACACCCCATAAAGGCGTGGCGCATGGCAGCGTGCTCCACGAAGCACAGCAAGGGAGGCGGAGGGGAGCTGAAGGCGGGGCCCTGGAGAGCCGGCACCCCAGACGCCCGAAGGGCTGCCCACCGAGCAGGGCTCAAGGAACCTGTGAAAACTGCCAGGTGACTCACATGACCTTTGACCTCAGTGACCTGTGAAGCTCAGGCTCCAGGTGGAACACTAGGAAACCCACCCGTACCTGCTGCCACGTGAGTGACTGGTGCGTCAGGCACGGCTTCCTGCATGTGGTAAACGTTCACCTGGTAAAGACCTTGCGGAAAAGAGACCATCTTCCTTCACTTAGTCATTGTTTACACCTTGTCCCCTTTCAAAGCTTTGAAGGAACATGAGTCTCAAAGGCCTGCATGAGGTAGGACAGTGGCAAGGACTAAGGTCACAGCGCAGGGTGGCTGTGCCGGGTTCAGACATCGTCCGGTCCAGCTCCCCAGCACCAGATGCGGTGCCCTGGGTCGCCACCCTGGTGGAGGGCTCCCCGCCAGACGGTTGTCCTATAATTTCATGGCCCGTCCACTACGGAAATCACAATTTGTAAATGATTATCTGTTGTACTTTTCTACCAGTTATCAGTGTTGTAAATGATTTCCATGCAAAACCCGAGTAATTCATATATAGATAGAAAAACACACCGTCACCCAAGATAAGTGCTGTCAGCGTCGGGAGTGTGTCCTTGTCCCCTGAGTCTCTGTGTGGCTGTGCCTCTGGTTGCACACGGCCGCCGGGGGCGGGGGCGGGGGCCAGCCGTCAGCTGCTGCACCTTCGCCTCTCCTGTCCCTTCACGGGCGGTTCCACCCCCAGGCCGGGATTAACACGCAGGCCGGTCTTAGGAGCTCATCTACTCTCAGACAATGAAATGTGCCATGTCCATTTTTATGTTTAAATTTTTAACCGTGGGGAAGCACATGTGGGTTTGGACCTGATGGTAAGCCGAGTTCCTGGCTGCAGGCCTGTCACCCCTGCACACTGGTCATCTGCCGCCCAGCACTTCGCTCCTGGCAGGGAGTTCGCCCCCTCCCTCTTCGGAGCCGTGTCTGCACGTGGGATCCGGTGCTCTGCTCGTGCTCGGTGGCTGCAGGCAGACTTCAGTGACACGGCCGCCGGCCGTCGCCGGACCGTTTCCTCGTCCAGTCTGGCATGTGCCACCAGCACGTGTCCAGGCTGCGTCCCTCGTCACCGTCTGTTTACATTCTCAGCACGCAGAGTCACGTTAACGTGACTCTCACAGAAACACCCTTTAAAAAGCAATTTGAGTGCCAATCCTGCCACCAGCTAAATCACGTAATTAATGCCAAAGCTAATTGGATCCTTCTGTTCTTTGCCTCACTGTCACTTGTGACGGAGGGAGAGTTGGACCAAGGGTGCTGTTCTACAAGTAAAAAGCAGACGGCCCGCCCGAGCCGGGGCTCCTGTCACCCAGGCGGCAGCCCGGCCCCTCTCATCTGGCCAGCAAGCGGCGCACGCCACCTGGCTGTCAAACCTCGGCCCCTCACGCTGGAAGGAGAACATACTTTACTGCACCGGTGGTGTGTTCAGTGAAAAGAGACAGGACGCGGACCCCTGACTGTGCCTCTGTCTCCCAGGTGGAGGCCCAGATAAGGACAGAATAAAATAATAAGCTCCCTCTGAATTTCTCTGAATTATTTACAAATACCTGAGAGTTGGCCTCCCGATATCAAATGAACTATATGCTCTCCAAACAAAAGGGGCGCAGTGCATCCCGGTGATGGTAGCAATGGCGGTGATGATGGTGATGGCAAAGGTGGCGATGACGGTGACGCGTGTGTGGACGTGGCTAAACTGCACCCTCACGCATAGGTGGCCATAAGGCCCTCGGGGGCGAAAGCTGCGTGAGCCACGCCCGCTGAGCCAGAGCAGTGCTGCAGCGCGGTGTTCTGCGCGCCGCTGCTTATGCGCGGAAGCCTGCAACAGTGCTCAGGGGACCCTTTTAAGAAACGTAATTTAGTAGGGCAGGCCTGTCACAGTTGTGCTTGTGAGCAGATCTCCTCCCCCTGGCCTTGCGTATTTGATGTCCCGACATTTCAAGTAATTGCTCTGGTTGAGCCACTTGGAGCGTCAAAAGCTACGTAAAACGCCATTGGAAGCTGCCCGGTCTCAGAATTCGTGGTGCAGTTGATGGAACAAAGGAACGTTCCGCTTTGATGCACACGGTGTCTGATTGTGCTCCGTGCTCGGCCCCTCTGCCGTCCACCGGGGCGAGCTGGATTATGTCAAGGGGTTTCCTCGTCCCCGTTTGCCTTCAGGTGACTGACAGGGCTTCTTTGCGGTGGCTCGGTGTGGTCCACGGGGGTGGCCCGGAGGAGGTTCCCAACGCGCACAAAGGTTCTCCTGGGAAGTCGGCATCTGCCGGGGGTCGGTCCTGGTTGCCTAAGGTATAGGAAAGTTATTTTTCACTAGAGATAACCCAGAAAGATTCCTTTTTGGATGAGAATTCTTTTAGGAATTATGTTTTATTATTCCATTTGGAAGTTGGGTATTTCTTACTATAGTCGTTCTAAGAGGTCCACAGAAACATGAGTCTTGTCATGTGAAAATCTCCTTCTGTTCTTTCCTCCAAACTAAAGGAAGCGAAGAGAAAATAGGTGTTTGGTGACCATAAGACATAATTTTTTCGAGTTTTTAATTGAATACAGAATATTGTATTGAAAGAGGGGCCCAGTTTCACCCTAACTGTATTGATAGACGGGGGTGACAATCGGGGTGCTTTATGTCATTTCATTTTGTCAGCAGCCCCTTCACGTGGGGTCTTTGACTGCTTTTCACAGGCAGGACCTCCGGCCTCAGTGACAGACACAGGGGCCGAGGGTGACTGACCCCAGAACACAGCACTTTTCTGCAGCGTGTTACCTTGTTTCTCCAGAGAACGGTGGCACTTCTGGGTGGGGGTCCTCCAGGACGTGGGGCCTGACTCGCCCTGCGTTTGCCCAGCGCCCACGGAGGGTGCTGGGGGCTCCCTCCCGCCCGGCGTCCCCGGCATCCCCGGCACCTGTGCCTGACGCTCACGCAGCCCCGACAGCTTCGCGTGGGGCCCCTGGGCATTGTCCAGCTCCTTCCTGTCTCCAGCACCTCACGTCCCGCCCACCCCAGGGCGCCCCCCCGCCCCCCAGGCGGCGCCCTGCCGAGCCCCCTCCCGAGCCCGGGATCGCTGCAGGAGCCGCCCCCGGCCTCCTCGCCCTGACCCCGAGCCGGTGGCGCAGCGTCCCTGTCACCCCGCACATGACGTGGCGTCCCACTGCCCACGCGCAGCCAGGGCTTCCCCGCCTCCGTAAGGACAGAGGTCCCTGTCACAGTCTGAGACGCTGCGTATCTGGGCGCCCCCCCCCACGACTTCTCTCTCTCCACGCCCTGCCCCCGCCCCCTCGCAGCTCCGTCCCAGCCTCTCTGGCCGCTGTGCTGCTCCTCCAGGCCCGACGCCGCGGGGCCTTGGCACTGCGCTTCCCGGGGCCCAAAGAGCCTTCCGCCCGGACCCCGCCTGCCGCAGTCCCTGCTCGGCTCCAGTGGCCCGCGTGACGCAGCCTCCCCCCGCCCGCCCCTGCCTCCCACACCCTGGGCGGTCTTCCCACAGCCCCGATCACCACCAGACAGGCATCCTCTGTACTTACGGCTTTAATTGTCTTTTTCTGTCTCTTCTAATGTGGATGAAGTTTCCATAAAAGTAAGGGCTTGTTAAATGCTTCATTTCTGCACTTTGAAGGTAGCTGTGCCTAGAAATTGTGCAATAAGTGTTTGTGGACAGTGGGTGGCAGGGGGAAGAATGAAGGAATGGAGGGAGGGAAGAAGGAAGGACAGACTGTTCCTCCCTGCGAACTGTCCTGTTTAAACTTGAGGACCTCTGAGGGGCACCAAACACTCGCTGATTTTAGCCACCTTAGACCTGGAACGATCTTGATCATTCTCTCTTGATTGCGGGTCGCATTTTTCTGATTCTCATGTGTCTAGTGATTTTTCTTGCACGCTGGACACTGTGTATGGAGGGACTGGAGAATGTCTCACCTCCCCCTAAAGGGTACTGAGTCGTGTTTTGTTTTTTCCCCCTGAAGCAGTTAAATTTTTAGAGGATCCTTTGGATTTGTGTCAGACCAGGTTGTATATTTTGTTCGCATTGGTCTATTTTGCTGGTCTTTGTGCATTTCCTGTGGTGGAGCTTCAGCGACCCCCTGTAGGCAGCCTGCCCCCGGCTCAGTCCCATCCCCGAAGCTGTCACTCCCCTGGGGGCACAGCCCCTTGTGCAGGGACCCACGGGGACTTGCATGCAGATTTTTGGCCCCGCACCGAAGTCTCCCGTACAGCGCTCCGTTCCTCGGTGCTACTCACCTCACCAGCCCTGAACCCTGGCCCCGGACCCCTCAGCTCTGGGGACTGTCCTGCCGCTCCTCCTGCCCTGGCCCAGAAACTGCCCCCAACGTGAAGCTGGCGAATACGGGCGCCGCACGCGCCTCCCGCCCTCAGCGCTCCTGGCGGCTCTGCCTGCCCCAGAGCGTCAGAGAACTGTTGCCACGTGTATTCTGTCCTTCTCACCGTCGTGTGTTGTGGAAGACACGCCTGTCCCTTCACAGCATTGTGTCCCTAAAGCCGCGCTCCAGCTGCAGCCGGAAGGCAGGGGCAGTCCCGTGTGGGCAGGGGTGTGGGGGCGCCCTCCTCTGACCGTCCCGTTTCTCCCACGATCGCCCGGGGCCCCCAGGCGGCCACACCGTCATCTTCCACCAGCGCGGTGTGTTTATCGTTCTTGGTGTATTTGTTTCACGATGGGGATGTATTGCTTTTATATTCAGAGTAATCACTCAAAATACACCAACCATTTAGGGGAAACGCCTAAGAGGCACACCGCCCCCCAAAGGAAATGGTTCCACTTGTATTTCCTGTGCTTATAAAGGTCATGCCCTTCGCGGCCACGCAGGTAAATGCGCGAGCCGCGCAGAAGGGCGCCGGCGGGGCCCGGGCCGCGTGGGCCGTGGCCAAGGCCTCCCACCCGCAGCTCACGCCAGGGTCCCCACCGCCGCCTGTCCTGCAGGGAGGGGAAGCGGGGGGCGGGCCTGTGCAGTGTGGGGGGGACGGGCTCCCCAGACCAGAGGACAAGGACGGGGACTGGCCTGCAGACAGCGCCTACCTTGAGGCGTCTTTTGGAAAACGGCGCTTTCTTACCCTCCGTTGGTGCCGTCCCCGTCACCCTGTCCAGCTGGCAGCCTCGGAGGACGCGGGGAAGCCGAGCGGGAGGGAGGCCACCTGCCACCTGTGCTGGGCGGGTGCCGCCCCCACCGCGCCCTCCAGGCTCCAAGCCCCTTCGGCCCCCGGGCGGCGGTTTCTCTTTATCGCCTGCGTCCAGCAGAGGGCGGGGACGTGGCCGCTGGACCCATGCCTCTCACGGCGTCGAGGGGCGATGCCCTTTGAGTCCCACACTGATGTGCAACCCAACCTCAGGCACAACACGCGTGTTAGTCAGGCTGCGTGTTGCACAGATGACCGACTGGCCGCCGTGGCCTGAGACATCACACAGGCTTCTCCTGCCAGAGCTGCCAGGAGGGGCCGTGGGCCGTGGGTCGATGGCCACGGTCCCCGGCAGCAGTGGCCTGGCCGTCAGGGTGCACGGGGCGCCGGGCCCATTTATCTTTCTCACAAGGAACGGGAACAGCCCGTTTTCATTTCTTCTGCGGCCTAAGGACGCACGAGGTTGCGCGGTCTCCCTCCCTGGCCTTGTAAGTCTAGCTGTTTCCCTGCAGGCCCCCTCCATCCCCCTAGTCGGGTACCTGCGTTTGCTCAAAGTTCCTCCCCGCCTTCCTCATCCGTCTTCACAGTTTAAAGACGCTGAACGTGGCTGCGGCCAGAGGGTCACATGGGACTCGGCTCCGAGGCACTCGGCACCTGCCTGTCCCAGAGGGGAGGGTGGCTGTGCGGGCACCGCAGGGTCAATCCATGTGCGTGTGTGTCTTCCCCCCAGGAACTGTCCTTCAGGACCTGCTGGAGGCGCTGAGGCAGCACGGGGCCGATGTGGAGACGCTGAGCCCCCGGGACCTTGACGAGGTGGCTCGCGTGCTCGCCGACGCCGTGCACGACCCCTGGAGAGGAGCCGAAGCGCAGCCCACGGAGCCGGCACACAGGCCGGGGGTGGCGCTCTTCGCAGATGGCGACGAGGGCAGGGGCGGCCTGCGAGGTGAGCCGCCGGGCCCCGGCACCCTTGGGCGGCCAGCGGCGGGGGACCACGCTGCAGGGCCGTGGAGGCCAGCCTCCCCGCTGCGACGCACTCTTTCTGCGGGGACGTACCCGGCGGCTTCTGTCCGGGCAGACGCCAGCCTCTGAAGGCTCCTGCCCAGGCTCGGCCCGCAGAGCAGCTACGTGGAAGGCAAACGGCGCTCTGTGAGGAGACGCCCATCTCTGGGGGGGGTTCCGAGTTAGCGGAAACGGGGCTGGTCCATCTGGGGTGCCCCTGTTGACGCCGCGCATGTGCGTGACCAGAGTCGCACATCTGACTGAGGGAGCGAGAGGGGTGCCGTTTAAATGTCTGAGTCTCCCAGCCACCCTTTGAGGCTGCCACTAGACAGCAGAGGTCCCCGACTGCGCCCATGCACACGCAGGCACACGTGTGCACACACACACCTCTCTACCCCCCCCCCCCACACAGGCTTCGGCCATCTCTGTGCCTGGCTGCGTCTCAGAGATGCTGAGCCACATGGAGCGTGCGGCACCCAGGAGGCACGGCTATGTGCCCGGAGCACAGGCGGAGGGCGCGTGTCTGTCATTGTGGCGGAATGGGGGCTGGCCCAGCAGCGGGATGCCCGTCCCGACGGGTGTGAGGATGCACGACAAGGGGCCGGGCTCCGCCGGGACAAGGCGTCCGGCTGGCAGCGAAAGGCTGGACACCCACTCTCGGGCTGGGAGGGTCGAAGGTGCCGGGTGTGGTGGTTGCGGCTTCGGCACAGTGCGGTGAGCTGTGCGCCGCGGGGCGCTACAGGCAGGGAGTTGACTTAGAGAGCGACCGGCGCAGAAAGCAGCCTGCCAGCGCCTGCCGACCCCTTGCTGAGAAGGCCTGGGTCCACCGCCTCCGCTTCCTCTTTCACAGCCGCGGGCTGTCCTGTGTGAGCCGACACTCGGGACGAGCAGGCCCACGGGCCGCTGACGCGCCTGACCCCTGGCGTCGCGGCCACCATTTGGCCTGCGGCCCTCCTCCTCCGTGACGCTTACAGAGCGCGGTTCTGTCCACAGAAGTGAGGGCGGCGGCCTTAGGGACAGAAGCCCCCTCGGCGGCTGCGGACGCACCGCGACCCCTCACACGGACATTCTGGATGGGGACTTCGGTAACACTTGTGTCTTCTGCAGGTAACAGAGAGCAGGACAGTGAAGCTGGAGCTCGCGAAGAGGTAAGAGGCCACATCTCCACACCTGCTCATGGTAAACCCAGAGCTGAGCAGTCACCTTTTGGTTCGCGGCTTGGGAAGGTTTATGAAATACAAAGTTTTGGGGTTCCCCCCCCAGGAAAGGGTGGAAAGGATGGAAAAGCCCTCACCATCCCCAAACTGAGAAAAGTGTAAACAGTACCTACAAAATTGTATATATTCATATACAGACTAACATTTATTTTCAGATCTTATAGTAATATTTATCCATTGTAGAAATATGAAAAATGGTTAATGCAAAGAAGAAAATTACTATTCCTTAGACTTTCCCCACCCAGGGGTATGGAAGGTAAAAAAGATGCCATCAAATCCCACCTGAGACTGTCCCGTGTGCCGACCTCACTTCACAGGCACGTTGACCGGCTCTCGATGGCTGCACCTACTCAGTGGCTCTACAGCCACGAGCCACATGTGGAATTCATTAAAATTAACTAAATAAAAAATCCAGTTTCAGGCTCGCCCGCCCCGTTCCTTGTGGTCCTCAGGACCCGGCAGCTTCGCCGCAGGGCCTGGCCGGGACCACGCCTGCCTGCGGGACCACGCCGGCCAGGGAGGCGCAGTGGGCAAGAACGCGGGCACGGGTCGCGGTCACTCCCTGAGCGGTTTGCGGGTTTTCTATTAAAGACCCTTTGCTCATTAGTGCAAGTCTTAAGGATGCAGAAAATCAGTTCTTAAGCGATGACAACGGCCTCACGTGGCTTCATGCAACACCTGTGGTGTAAAAGGGTGCAGACGGGTGCTTTTCTTGCCAGTTCACGTGTGTGGCCTTGGGTCCGTGCCTGTTAGCAAGTAGAACTGGCAGTTCTTTGAGACGTCCATCGAAAGCGGTGGGATGTTCCGTCGGAGTTGTGGAGGGGCGTCTCAGAGCGCACTCCCAATTTAGGGAGAGGGCGACGGGGAGGAGCAGAGACCGAGCGCGGAGCCCAGCCAGGGGTCTCTCAGTCTCATGAGCCCATGGGGTCCCCAGCCCACCCTCCGCGGGACCCCAGGACCCTTCCCTGGGGGCGGCTTCACCCTATGTGGGCCGGGCGCTGGTTCGTTTCTCTGCCATTCGGGGTGCACCTACCAGCGGTCTGTCCCACAAGGGTCCTCGAGGGCTGAATCACCTGAGCTCTTATTTATTTAATAAGTTTCCTCCTCACACAAAACACCGTGTGCGTGAGAATCCCACTCTCCTTCCCTCAAAGGCCTGAGGACATGCCTCCATCCCTCCTGGGTAACCGAAATGCCACTCAGGATCCAAGTTTGAGCAAATGTTTTCATCAGATTATTTTCTGTAACTATTCCAAAACAAAATGAAAAGTTAGGAATACATTTTAGTAAAAAGTGGGATAATTCGTTTCCTTTAAAGTCCTTCCTCAACTTGCTAAGTGAATGTGTTTTCATGAAGTGAGTTGTAAAGTGAATCCAGTTTTCCCTTTTCCGTCTAATACAACACTGGAGATGTGATTTCACAGTGAGACGGGACATGCCCGTCCTAGAAGGGGTCCCCAGCCTGCTCTGCTCCGTCACCTGCCGGCCGCGGGGGCACCGCGCGTGTTTCTGTAGGAGGCGGTGCCGGGCGTCTGAGAGTGTCCTCGTGACCACGTCTTTGACGTCAGTTGGACCCGACCTCACCTTCTGGGTCTGCCATCCCTGCCTCCGCGACCTCATGCGAACGAGGAGCCTCGGGCGGCTCCCCAGCCTACGGGCTAGAGGCAGACCCGGTTCCCTGCCCGGGGCCGGGCAGCGCCAAGAGGGGAGGCCGTGCCCTGGGCCTGACGCAGAGCCCGCGCCGAGCGACGCAGGACAGCGCCCTCAGCCGGACGCTCGGACCCGGGCAGCGGGGTCAGGGCAGGCGAGCCCTCGCAGGCGAGGACCGAAGGTCCCCCGGGGGCGGCGACATGCCCTGTGAAATGAGGGGGGGTGACCATTCCTACCTCAGGGTTGTCATGAGGAGACAGAGCCTTCATGTGTTGTGTGGGCTCAGTACATGCAAATTATTATCATGTTATTATCATGGTTAAATTGTTAGCTGTGTCTAGAGGCAGGAATGTGTCTTGGAATCGTGCGGGTTATTTTTAACCTATAGAAGCCGAAGACCGGCACTGACTGGACAAGCTGAGATTCTCCGGGAGGGCGTGTGGGGTTTGTGTGCGTGAGAGCGGGGACGGCGCGGGAGAGAGGGCGCGCTAGGAAGTGATTCCGATGCGCGTCCTCCACTGGCCGAAATTTCTCATCCGGACGTAATTCTGCATACAGGCTGTCCAGACGTCGCTCTTCTCAACTTTTCATCCCAGATGCCACATGGGGACGTTGTCACAGATGGCCTTGCGTCCTGTAAGGGGACAGTCTCTCTCTTGGAAGCCGTCTCACATGATTTCCTTTCCACCAGGTCAGCCCTGTGAGCCTCAGACCCGGGCACGTCCTGCAGGACCCTGGGGCCCGACCCCTGCCCAGGGGCCCGCCTCCTGTGGGGAGCAAGAAGCCCGAAGGCCCCGACGCCTCCTTGTCTTCGGAGGAGGATGCCGCCGGCGTGGAGAACGTGAGGAGCCAGACCTACTCCAAAGAGCTGGGGGAGCGGCCACCGCACTGGGAGCCCAGGGTCGACGGGCTCGGGGAGTCCCCACACTGGGTTCCGGGGGCCCCGCAGGAGGACCCGCGCCTCGGAGCAGGAGCTCGGGGACGCGCCGGCGACGGCCTGCGCCTGGAAGTCAAGTCTCCGGGGGAGGACTACGGCTACGTCATGACGGACAGCGAGTGAGTAGGCGCTCTGGCCTTCCTCTCCTGGGCCCAGGGTCCTGGCACCCACTGGGGAGGGGAACTGTGTCATTTCCGCTTGCCTCCCCTCGAGGAACGAGTGCGGGCGCCTGGTGTCCCAGCCCAGAGCCAGGCGTCCGTCCCCTGCGGCTCCTGACCTGGGAGCCGAGCTCGGGGGGCAGCTCTCCACAAATCAGAGCCCTTCCTGCTCTTTGGCCTTGGCCTTGTCGCCCGCTGGTCAGAGCAGGGGCGAGTGAGGCTCCGCTGACTTCAGGCGGGGCCGGGGGCGGGGCGGGGGCGGTGGGAGCAGCCAGGCCTGGGTGGCGCGTGGCCCCCGGGGCATGGTGGGTGGGCGGGGTCTGCACTGCCTGCTGGCTCCGGAGCTGTTCGAGCACCAAACTCGGTATAGCTTTCACACCGACGTCGCCCCAAGGCCAGGGTACACATCACCCTTCAGGGGTCATTGGCCCCAGGGCGAGAGCGTTTTGTCCTCGTCACGTTCTGACCTCAGTCCCACGAGGCCCGGAATTCAAGCACCACGTCCCTCCCGGCGACAGGGCCAGCCCTTCATGCGGCGTCGCTGCGGAGCCTGACGCTCACTGCTGAGCTTTGTAAAAGGGTCGTTTCCTTCAGGTAGTCAGAGAGGTGCTTCCAAGGGAAACATGCCTGCGTGGCTGCACACACACAGGCGCGTGCATGGTGCGCACTGTGCGTGTGTGTGTTTGCACTGTGTGCTTGCGTGTGCACGTATACAGTGTGCGAGTGGGGTTGTGTGCAGAGTGAGAATGTGTGCATGTGCATGAAAACATATGTGAGTGTGTGTGTGTGCAGCACGTGGTTGTGTGTGCGGGGTGTGTGCAGCTGCTTTCCTCCCACTGGGCCATCTGTGCCCTCCTGTCCTGACACCCACGGGCCCATTCAGACCATGAGGTGCAGCTGCCGGGCGGTGCGGGCGCTGCCCCGCGTTCGGGGTCCCGGGCCTCCTGTCTGCATGCGCAGCTCAGGACGGGGGGTTTGCTGGGCGCCTTTGGGGTGGGAGAGTCCGCCCCGCCTGGTGTCAGCACCGAGCGATCGCGGAGAAGCCCCAGCTCAGCGAGCAGCCAGCCCGTCCCCTGGAGAGACCCCGTCCGGTCAGCAGGTCCGCAAACGGCATTCCTCCCGCCCCGGCCGGCGTCCCTGCGGGACAGCAGCAGCACAAGGGCGCGCTTTTGTGGCGTCCCGGTTCCTTTCCTGTGGTGCTTCCTGGGCCTTACTCTTGGGACATGAACACGACCGCAACACGCACAGGTTAACGGAAAAACCAGTGTCTCACTGTGGCTGGTTTTACTGTTTCTTTGCTGCTTCAGCAGATGAAATACACACAGTGCAGGTAACTCAGCTCTGCGTCCTTAACTCTCCGTTTGTCACCGGACCTAATGCATGAGAGGGTGACGCCCCCTCCCTCCCAGAGACAGAGATGGAAGCTCTGACTCCGTTGTCAGATTCATTGGTAATTTGGGGCTTTCTGGGGCAAGATTTCACCAGATATCAGCTTAAGTCTTCATAGGTCAGCTATTAATTGACAAGAATCTCATCCCACACTTTAAAAAGAAGGCTTTTGTCTGTGCAGTTGTCCCACAAAAGGAGAAGGAATGCGACCTCCGCTCGGCTTTATCTCATCGCTGGCACTGGGTTCGCGGCCGCTGCTCAGGCGGAGGGAGGCCCCGTGGCTCAGCCGCGTTGGCACCTCCCCGCCCGCCCTCCCTGACAGCCAGGGCGCACTTTAATCTTCCCCATTTATATTACATCTCTGTACAAGCCAGGCGGATCCTTCAAGACTGGGTGATGAGCAGGACAGCCGCCCGTCCTCCAAGGACGACTTAAAAATTATTTCAAGTGACGTCAGGAAGAGGCCACAGGCTGGAAGGCGGATTTGAAGCAGAGGCGTCGTTTACCTCTCAGCAAAGAGAAAGCTCCTGTTACGTCTGATTACAAATGCTTTAGGGACACGGTTACTTGTCTGCTTCTCTTCCCAAAAACGTCCCCGTGTGGAGTTCGTCCCCATAGAAGGATGGTCTGAGGCAGCGAGGCAGCTTTGCAGCAGCGAACCGTGGTCGTGAGCGCCTGCAGGCGGAGGGGCAGCCGCCAGGAGTCGTCGGTTTGATGTTGGAGGAGGTCTCACGTCACCTCTCAGGACCGCACTGCCCCGGCGGCTCTGGTGGCGGTGGGCAGGCCAGTGAGGCGCCCAGCAGACCCCACGGGAGCACTCGGAGCTCCTGCCATCACAGCGAAGCGCTGGTCTCTGTCTGGTCTCGCAGCCTCCCACGGTGAAGACACCTGCCGTCAGGGGGCAGCCCCACAGCGCGTGCGACTCCCCCGCGGGCCCGTCCCTGCGTGGAAAGGGCAGCGAGGCTGGGGGCCCTGGGGGCCCAGGACACGGTGACGCTGAGTAAAGAAGTAGCGCCAACCCGACCAACAGCCGCCCGAGAGAGAGGAGGCCGGTGAGCTTCAGTCAGGAAGAGAAGGGGGCGAGCTGGGCGTCAGGGCGGCCGAGGAGGACACCAGCAGGAGGGGGGACAGCCCCTCCGGGCCCCCTCGGGCGCCTGTGAGCCCCCCAGACACAGACAGGGTTCGCTGTCAACTCTCCTCCGTCAGCTTTTCTTACCACAAAACTTCCTTGCACCTGGGGTCAGCCAGTCTGAGGAGCCACAGACGCTGCGCTCCCTCGGTCACGGGGCTCTCAAGTCAGGACCTGCCCCCGACGCAGGCGCAGGCGCGCGAAGGCACCCACCTGCCGCGGCGCCGCCCTGATGGGGGTGCGTGGGACGGGCTGACCAGAGAGGCGCGTCCCCAGTGCCGCATGGCTCTGCCTTCGCCCACTGGGAGCTGCCAGGAGGGGCGTCGGGAGTCTGCAAGGAAGTGCGGAAGTCACCGTCCCCACGTGCCAGCCGCCTGGGATTCACGCCCCGCCACCTGTGGCCTCGCCCGTGGGCACGGGGCCGTCCTCCTTCCCCTCACACTCCTCCTCCTCCTCAGGGGGTTGAGAGCGGGTGGTTTGGAGCCTTTGGGGGAAGACAGTGCCCACCCTGTTCCTGTCCCTCTTTCAGAGACTGAAGACCCCGTGTTCGGGGCGACTTGCCCGTGTGCCCTGGGCGTGTGCAGCCGAGAGGAAGGGGCCCCAGCTGAGACAGTGCCACCTCGTCCCAGCTCCCCTGCTGCTCTGGGGGCCATGGTACCGCCCAGCTCCGGGCTGCTGCCAGGGGCGCGAGGTGGGGGAGGAGCGGGAGGCATGGATGGGACGCAAGGACAGGACGGAGCCACCGGGGCACAGAACAGGGCGGCGGCCCTTCCCCCCTCCCAACGGATGCAGTGAAGGGTCCCGCGCGGCGGCGCCCCGCAGATTTTAGTGTTCCTCTGTCTCGGACCTCGTGTCACCGACGCGTTCGGACTTTCTGCTTAGGACGCACAGCCGCCGTCTCCGTGCACTGTCTTCCCTGCGTGTGCGACAAGCTCCCCGCGGCCGCCGCGCACGTTTGGTTTATTTTTCTTGAAAGACCGTTTCCAGCCTGGGCCCTCGACCCGCCCGGCTCCGTGCCCGTCCCGAGAGGCTGCCACCCGCAGCCCAGCCCAGGTGCTTGAGATGCAGGAAGGTCTGCAAGGTCCTGGCAGTGCCGGGCGCTCTGCTCTTTCAGCCGCGTTCACGTGCGGTGGCAGCAGGGGGTCCCTGTGCTCCTCTACACCTGGGCCCGTACCCGCATTCACGTCTCGCCTCACATCCGGGTCTGCACCCCCACCCCGCCCCCCACCCCGCTCCTGCACTGCGTGCGCAGCGGGCTCGGGGGCAGGTCTCCGTCATCGCTTGGGGAGCTTTGCCTCTCCTCCTCGGTGATGTCGTGCGATTCCGCAGCAGGATAATCCCCAGGGACCCTCGTCGCCTAACGCTGCCATTGATGTTTTGGGAAGTGTGACCTGCATCATAAATCGGCCTCGACTTACGTCCGTCTGCGTTAAGCAGTTTAATTTCACTGCTACACAGGAGGGAGGAAGAGAAGGAGGGAAAGATGTGAAAAGAGATTTGCTGGGCTGTCAAAATAGACATCTGGGAATAAAGAAAAAGGCAGAGAGAAAAGGAAAAGTGGAAGCAATGCGGAATTCCGAGGCGGCGCCGCAGAGGGGAAGGGGCTTGCTTGTGCCGATGTTTCCCGGGAGCCGCGTGGGCCCGCGCCTCTGGGAGGCCACCGAGGGCAGGCCGGTGGACGGGATCGGGTCCCACAGGTGAGAGGCCACGTGTCCGCTTGGTGGGGCGGGACATGGGCGGAGCTGGGACAGGCTAAGGGTGGCAGGAAGTCGCCGGAGGGGCTGCAAGACCACAGGACCCTCAGTGACTTCCTGCAACTATCCTGGATGCCACTGGAGGGCGCCAAGCAGGTGCGTGGTGGGCGGGGTCCCGACTGGATCCCCACCTCCCAGGCGCTGCACAGAGACTAGGGATGACAGAAGGAGACCGGCCAGGAGGTGGGGGGCCCTCCGGTCATTCTCCTCAGCTCTGTCCCCCTCAGGTGACACCCATGAAGTGTCCCCTGACCTGTGAGCCGTCTGAACCGAAATCCCAGTTGGGCGGTGTCGCCACTCTGACCCCCAGGCTGCTTGGTCAGCGGGGCTCGTGGTGAGGCTCCGGGGGGCAGTGCCACCGGGCCCTGGAGGGCATCCGTCCCCTCCTTCCCACTGTGGGCACCTCGCTGGGGCTGCGTGTCCCTGAGAGCTTGGCGGGGAACCCAGTGTGTGGTGGGGCTGGAGGAGGTGAGGGCGCGGCGGCTGGGCTGCGAGGGCAGGGGCGCCAGGTGCTGGGGGCGGGCGTGACCGAGGCCGGCGGACAAGCAGGGGCCACCAGGCAGCTCCCTGCGCTCCCTCCCCCTAAGGGCCTGCCTCGCCCGCGCTCGCGGTCCGGGGGCCGGTGTCGCCCTCCCCGGCCAGCGGCGCCTGGGTCCTGCTCGGCTCCTTGGGTTTCTGTGGAATCTGTTGTGATGTCTCTTTCATTTCCAGTTTTATTCATCTGAGCCCCCTCTCTTTTTCTAAGTCTAGTTTGTCTATTTTATCTTTTAATAAAAATAGCCCTTAGTTTCATTGATCTTTTCTTTTGTCTTTTCGGTCTCAATTTCCTTGATTTCCACTCTGATCTCTGTTATTTCCTTCCTTCTACTAATGCTTAGCTCTTTTTCTAGTTACTCGATGTGTAAAGTTTATTGAGTTTTTTAATAACGTGGGGATTTATTGCTGTAAGTTTCCTCTAAGACCTGCTTTTGCTGCACCCCACACTCGGGCGCATTCTGTTTCCCTTCCCTTTGGTTCAGGGTGGTTTTCGATTTCTCTTCTGATTTCTTCGTTGACCCACTGGTTGCTCAGGAACAGGTTTCGCCTCCACATATTTGTGAATTTCCCGCTTCTCCTGTTGTAGTTGATTTCTAGTTTTGTACCAACTGTGGCTGGGACTTGCTTGATCTGACTCGTCTTCTGCCTTGTCAGTGGGTCTGTCCCACGACTGTTCCCTGCGCTCCTGACAGGAGCGTGTGTCCCCCGCTGCTGGACGGGGTGTCAGGCCGTCCGCTCTAGCAGGTGGTTCAAGTGCGCTGTTTCCGCAGGGGTTTCCTGTCCGGTCCGGCCACTGTTGCAAGGGGCTGCTGAAGTCCCCGGCGTTATCATGCTGCTGTCTCTTGTCTCCTTCTATACCTGTTAATATTTGCTTTCTGCTTTATATATTTAGTGCTTCTGGGCTGGGTGGATAAATATTTACAAGTGTTATATCCTCTTGGTGAATCGACGTCTTCATCATCACGTAGTGACTTTTTTTGTCTCTTGTTGCAATCTTTGGCGTCCAGTCTATTTTGTCTGATTTAAGTGTAACCTGCCCCTGCTTTCTTTCGGTTTCTATTTTCATGGAATCTCTTTTTCATCCCTTTACTTTTAGTCTGTGTGTGTTCTTACTGCTGAAGCGAGTCTCTTGTAGGCAGCATATAGTTGGCTGCTATTATTTTTAATCATTCAGCCACTCTATCTTCTCCGATGGAAGATTTTATCCATTTCGTTTTAAACTAATTATGGATAGTTATGGACTTAATATCGCCATTTAGTTGTTTTCTGGTCATTTTGTAATTCCGCTGGCTTGAAGGTTTTCTGGGGGGTGTGCTTTGATTCCTCTCTATCCCGTGTACCTGCCGGCGCCTTTTGCTTTGTGGTTTCCACAAAAAGCACCTTATATTTATAACAGTCTGGATAAGCTGGTTACTTTGAATGCACACTGAAGTGCTACACTGTTACACAACCTTTCCCTTTTTTTTTTTTTTAAGTCCACACACATTTGATAGAAGTAACTGTGAGACATGGTGTACTTAGACTTATATTAAGCTGTTAGCAAATGACTTTTTTTTTAATTTGGAGAAATGAATATACTTCTGGTGAGAAGTATAGTCTCATCTTGATGTTGCAAACAGTAAGTTGTCAGAATATGGGTTTTTCAGCTACTGTTGTCTCACCTGTGCAGAGTGGGTGGCAGTTTAAGAATTGCATTCATAAGAGCCACTGAGGATGGCTGGCACCTGGGCACGAGCCTGCCTGTGCTCCAGACGCCATGGAGGTGGAAGCGGAGCGTCCGGTCTGACTGCCCAAGTCGCCATGGGCTCGGGACCATGCTCCACGGCCCCGGGCTTCCGCAGCGGGAGGCGGCGCCCAGCTGAGGTGCGGAGGTCGTCCGGATCCCCTGGCCTCTTCATGGGCTCCTGCCAGAAGTACCTCTTCTCTGCAGTGGGGAGAACTCCTGTGGGCCAGCAAAAGTTTCAACTCGCTCGTAGGGCTATTTGAATGGAATAAACGTCATCATTTGTTGTAACAAGGGAGAGGGACAACTGGGATAACGGACGACCCCATGACAACCTCACTTTACCCCTTGGTTTCAACTGTCTCGTCAGAAAAACTCGCGTGGGAGTTGGCTGCTTTCATCGGGCCGTCCATGACTCTCCGTCCCCGGCCCATGAATTTTCAAATAAAGAGTGAAGTGTCCATGCCAAGGAGGGAAGTGGCAGAAGCGAAGGCCCAGCTCTCAGGCAGGGAGTCCCAGGCGCGACGGCTGGGTCGCGGGGACGTCTGGCCTTGGCCAGGCCCAATCTCCCTGAACCCCGAGGAAGAGGCGGTCACGCTGGTACAGAAACAGGCGTGGAGACACGGGGGGCCCGCCGCCCTTCCGCCCGGTTACGGCGGAGTCTGCGGAAGCACGCGGGCTGCGGGGCTTCCCCGGGTTCTGGCAGCCTGCGTCCCGATGGTCGCGTCACAGTTAGACGTTCGGGTTAGTGGTTTCCTTCGGGGAGTTTACCAGCCCCATGACCTCAGGCAGCGCATTTAATTTCTCCAGTCTCAGGTTCCAGTCCTTTGAAATGAGGGTCCCCGCCCCTCCTTCCTCCCAGCAGTGCTGTAAGCATTAAATGCAGTAACTGGCAGAGCCTGGCAGGGAGGGGGCGCTCAAGGAAGCCCTCAGGGTGTCCACTCCTCAGCACTCCTGGCCCGTCACTGTCCCCGCACCCTAGAGCAGGCTCTCTGCGGCAGAGGCTCTTTACCCGACACACACTCCGAGTCTGGCCTCCAGCGAGCACACCTTCCTGGCAGCCCTGCCCGCTTGTCCTGGTGACACCGGGCTGTGGCCAGTGCAGACGCCGGTACCCACAGACCTCACTCCGTGCGGAGTCCCCGGGGCCCCAGCTGGTTCATGGCCACAAAGCTGAGACCAGCACCGCGGGTCCCTCGCTTACTCGTGGGGCAGGACAGTGGGGAGGGCAGCCCTGGCTTGCAGACCTGCTTCCCCCCACCCTTCCTGGCCTTGTGAAGAGCGGCTCGCGGGCCCGGGGTGCTGGCAGCAGCTGAGGCGAGGGCGCAGAGAGGGCTCCCGGCCCCGGGCGTCGGTGCCCGCTGCACTCACAGCTGCCTGCTGCGCACGTTGTCTCCGGGTCCCCAACTCCTCCTCCGTGACGACACCAAGGCTGGCGCGTCAGGGCCTTCAGGAGCTCACCCTGAATGGATTGCCTGCAGCCGCCCCATCTGCAAGCACAGTCGCGTCCTGAGGGTCCGAACTTCAGCACGTGAGTTCTTGGTGATACCGTTCAACCCACAACGCCGCTCAGTTTTTACTCATTGATGACTTTTGCCTGCGTCGCCGTTGGGCAGAAAGCCCAGGAGGCCGGGGCGCGGCCTCTGTTTCCTGGTCCCCGTGGCCTTCCCACACCTGCTGGAGGCACGAGGACGGGAGGGACCGCCGCCTGGATGAAACCGTGTTGATGTAACAATCTAGTTGGACCTTCCTTCGAAGTGGCACTGATGGCGGCTCACAGGTGACATGCAACTTGCAGAACCATGTGCTGGGACTTAGGATTTGTCATCGGAACTTGGAACCGCCTCTTCCCCGGGGGCTGCTGTGCGGGGGGTGGCCGCTCTGGAACGTGACCCCATTGGACGGAGTCCCGCTGGTTGGCTGTCCACCCGTCTCATCACCGACCCTTCAAGTGCGACATTTCGATATCTTTTTGTTGGGGCGCAAATCGCCTCAGAAATGAGTCCCTTAAAAAATGTGTTTCTGCCCTGGCCAGGTGGCTCAGTTGGTCGGAGCATTGTCTGTGCATCAGAAAGTTGTGGGTTTGATCCCAGGTCAGAGCACGTAAGGGAGGCAACCGATCGGTGCTCCTGCCTCTCTCCCTCCACTCTGCCCCCGCCTTCTCTCTCTCAAACCGGGACACACGTCCTCAGGTGAGGATTAAGAGACGTAAAATAAAATATAAAAATGTGTTTCCTTCGCATTCGTGCCTTCCCATCTGAGGTCTGGTTTTCAGCCTCTGCCCCGTCGCCTCCCCGCCGCCCCCGCTCCCCCCGAGGCCGAGGTGAGCCCGTTGCTGCCTCTGCACCCCTCACGCGTCCTAACCGGCCCCTTGCCCTGGGCAGTTTGTCGTCTCGCTGGGAAGTCCAGGTGAGTCTTCGTGGCTGAGGAAGCAGCTCGTGCCCGTTGCCCTGAGAGCTGGTCACGGTGGCAGGAGTACAGCGGGGCGGCCGCCAGAGTCCCCGGGCCGGGAGGGGGCAGGGCTGCGAGGCAGTCCCGTGTGGTGACCCCGCCCCTCTGCTCCCCTACAGCCCCCTGAGCCTGCAGAAGGGGAAGGAGCTGCTGGAGGACGTCGCCCGCCTGCTGAAGGTGCCGCCGAGCGCCATCACGGACACCGAGTGAGTGCGGGCGCGGGGTCCCCGGGTGTGATTCTCGCCCATGTCAGGTTCTGTTTCATAAATTGGTTTCCAAGCGAAGGAGCCGTGTGCCTGTGGCTCCCGTTAATTACACCAGAGAGAAACTGTCTTGGAAAGAAATGAAAGGAAATTCCAGCGGGGTTGGTAAGTTATTTAAACACAGCTGAAACCCGAGTGTAATTATAAGAACCATAATCAGCGAGCGCGGAGGCCCACTGGACCGTGGTTCCCAGCCCTGCGGCTCCAAGCATCACCCAGGAGGCTCTGGAACGTTCCGCGGCCCTCGTGGCCCCGTCGCACACAAGTCTGTGAAGCCTCGATAGCGCTTGGCTGGTGGCTGCGGGGCCACGTTTCGGTGACGGGGGTGGGGGCTGCCACCGCCCAGTTCTGGAACGCGTCGGGGCAGCAAGGACCAGCCCCGTGTGGGGACGCCTGCGAGGGCGCCCCGTGCAGGTGTGGGCGGACGGCGGGCCCACGTGCAGAGCCGGGGCGCGGGCGGCGCGGCGGCTGGGCTGCCCCGGTCGGACGTGGAGCCGAGCTGAGCGCCCACAGACAGAGGCGTGGACGCAGGGAGCCCCCACCGAGGCCTGCGGACACCCAGGTGTCCCTGGGGTTTACTGAGCACCTGCCATGACCTGGCCTCGGGCTAGGAGAGGGGCCCCGTTGCCCTGCACGGACGGCGAACCACTTACTGGGAAAGGCAGGTGCGGTATGGGTAGCCAGCGTGACGGGTGCTCGGAAATGGGAGTAAGGAAGCCCCTCACCCAGCCTGGGGCCCTGAAGCTTCTGGAAGAGGGGAGTGGAAAGTCGGGTATCCGATGTGCACCCACAGCACCCGGCAGGAGCGTAGCACCCACGCAGGGAGCGTTCCGAACGAAGAGGCAATGGCTGGGCCCGGAGCCACAGGGAGCCAGGGAGCTGCCCGGGGCCCCCTCGCCGGGGCGCATGCGCCTGGGGCACCGGGGGGGCTGTGCAGGCAAGGCGAGCCGGGTGGCGGAGAGAAGGCGGCAGACTGTGCGCTCAGCGGGGCCCAGGAGAGGGCCTGGGGTCGACCGGTGAGGAGGGGAGCCCAGGGCGTGGTCCGGCCAGGACATCAGCGGGGGAGGAGCGTTGGCAAGAATCCAGGTGAGGTGGCTGCAGGGGGCATGTGGCAGAGAGGCCCCTGCCGCAGGCAGCACAGGACGGACAGGGCAGGGCTGGCGAGGGCAGGACTGGGCCACAGGCTGCCGAGACCCACCAGCTGGCTCCTCTCCACAGCGAGCACAGGCAGGGCATGCGGGTCGCCGCGAGCAACCCTGGGGCCTTGGGCGGGCAGGCACGCCCTGCTCCTGCCCGATCTCCGGGACCCGGGGACCGCGGGGCTGTGGCGCGGCGCAGCTGCCCAGCTGAGGGAAGCACTGCCCCCCACAGCGCCCCGGGCTGCGGCTGCGCTCGGGCTCGGGGCTGGGCATGCTTGGCGATCAGGGGGCTGGTGTCTTGCGGGAGGGTTGGGAGCATCCGAGTGGGCGGGGCCTGATTGGAGGGCGTCCCCAGCCTGCCTGCCGTCCCATCCGTGCTCTGAGTGGAAGTCGGGTCCTCTCGGCGCCGAGGCTCCCCTGGAGCAGCCCCGCCTCGCCAGCTGCTGCCTGCGCTGCACCCCGGGGTCTTCACTGTTGTCTGTGCGAGCCCACACTCGCGCATGCGTGCGTGTGCGTGCGTGCGTGCGTCTGGCGGTGGCGTTGCGCTCCGGGGCCAGGTGTGCAGGCCCCGTGTGTGGCCCGGGACCGGGCTCTGAGGGCGGGCAGCCTGGGGGCTCAGCGTGTGCGCGGCTCCAGGAGAGGGGAGGCGCGAGGCCTGCACTTTCCCGGACCGTCCGCGTTTTATGGAAGTACCGGTTACGCTCAATATGCTTTGTTAATGGTTATGTAGCTGTCAAGTAAATTCCATTATTTCTTATTACATCATTAGAGACCATTAAAACGGCATTAGCATGCTGATGCAATTACGCCGGCAGGCGCCTGGCGCAGTGACGACTTTATAATCTAATCACGCTGTCCGTGCGCTGACGGGTGCCGGGCTGCACCCAGCGCTTGGCAGTGGGGGTGCCACGGGCCCACTCCCGTTGGAGGTGGGGACCAGAGTTGTGCTGCGGCCCTGCCTCGTGGACCCTCGGACCAGCACCAGAAGGCCTGGCACTGCTGCGGGCAGCGCTGAGCCCCACGTGGCCACCGATTGCCGCATGTCTTCCTGGCGCTGGAGCCGTTTAGTCTCCTCCTGTGCAGCTACTGAGGCAATGAAACACCGTGTCCGGTTTCCCAGGGTGGCCACTGGTTCTCCTGGGCTCGGGGCAGGGGCTGCTGGGCACGGCTCCTTCCCGACACGGTGCCCCCCGCCCGCAGCCCAGTGCCCTGCAGCCTCGCCCACCCCGCACGGCCCTCCGTGTGGGAGAGAACCCCTGGGAGTTCGGAAGCTTCCAGAAAGCATTCTTTTGTTTCCTGGGGCAGAGTTGCTATTATTTGCCTCCTTGTCCCATCTCCCTGACTGGCGAACACATTTTGTATGAAGCAGGAGGAGGGCGGCTCAGGGTGGCCTTCAGCCCGCTGGGTTGGCCCTGTGGCCGGCATGGTGGCCGAGAGGGTTACAGAGCCCTGGATTGTTTGGGGTGCCTGCCGGGGTGATGCAAACTGACAGTGGCCGAGGCTCTGCCCAGGGCCCGTGACCATCGCTCCCAGCCCGGAGCCCCAGACAGCAGACCCTGAGCCCACAGGAGGGCCGGGGCGGAGGTGTCGCCTCCCTTCTTACTGTACCTGCTGCCCCAGGCGCTGCCAAAGGCAGGGGCTGTCCCCTGGCTCCTCTTGGGCCCAGGGTTGGCTTAGTGGCACCACCTCAGGAGGGCAGGGCGGGGGGAGGGGGACGAGCCTGTGTCGGGAGCATCGGCTGTGCCCTGTCTACACCTGCAACATTGCTGAGGCGCAACCAAAGTTTTCCTGGAAACAGGGAGTGTCAGGGAGGTGGCACGGGTGTCACGCTGCCTCAGCCTCATCTTAGACTGAAGGTGAGACAGCAGGAAGGCCCACTGTGCACCGACACAGAGCCGTTCCACTTGAGTGACAACGGCCATTTCTCACTCTGGGGGAATCTCTGTGCTTTGCTTGGAGACGTCGGTGTTGAAGGGTTGATGTGAAGTGCTGTCCCCACTCAGGAGAAGGGCCAGCTTCCTCGGCCTTCCCGAGCCTCCGGTCCCCGCCTGCAGAGGGCAGAGGGCAGAGGGCAGGGCACAGCGCGGGGCCCACCCGGTTCAGCGCTGGCGGCCTGTGCTCAGGAGCCCCGTTCATTGCCAGAGAAAGACACGCGGGCTCACCAGAAATGGGCTCCGAGGGCGGGAGGCAAGTTGCCCGTCTGCGCCCGCTCGGGGCCTCACGCGTGCAGCCCTGCAGAGGGGGGGCTCGCTGAGCCTCGGCAGTAAAGCTGACCCGCGGGGGCTTCCCTGCACGAGGCGCATCCCAGGGGGTCACGGGTCCCTAAACGACACGGGGGTGGTGCGCAGCGTCCTGAGGGGGCCGCCGCGCCGCGTCCGCCTGTCTGCTGGTCCCACGGGGTGGCAGGTGGGCGCCATCGCGTCCGGGACACAAGGGCACGCGAGCTCCCAATGCCGAGCGGCTGGGGACGGCCACGCGTCTTTGGAGAGGAGGTTGGCGCCTGAGGGGAGCCTTGGGCACAGGGATGGAGCGCCGATGAGGGGCCCAGGAACTGCTTGAGAACCGGAGGTCCTGTTGCTGGGACGTTATCGGTGCCCTTTGGGTGGCCACAAGGGACACTCGAAACAGGGGGGACTTCCTCCTGATTGGGGAGATGCTGCTCTTGCAGCCCCGGAGTGTGCGGCCCTGGCAAAGCCCGGCAGCCCGCAGGGAGGCTTCGGACGCCCTGTGAGACAGTTAACCTGCGGCTGAAACGCTCAGGGTCAGGCGCTTGGAAGATCGAAGCGGGGAGCGGAGCGGCCCCGGAGGGCTGGTGAGGAGTCAGACTGAGGGGTGTGCACCTGAGGTGGGCTGTCCAGCGTCACGGAGAGGACGGATGCGGTGGCCGGCTTTCGAGATGGGACAGAGGCAGAAACGCGTCGCTGCAGGGCCAGAGAGGCCGGCCTCCGTCGAGCAGAGAGCCCCCGGTAGGGACGGACGGCTGGCTGTGGCCGGGCCCCCCCGGGCGCGGGGCCGGCCGAGACGGGGCGTGTGGGCCTGGCTGCGAGCAGCACGAGGCGGCTGTGGGCTCCGCGGTCAGGGAAGCGGGGAAGGAGCTGGGCTGCCGCCTTCACAGCAGGAGCCGAGGACTGAGGTTGGGACAAGGGCACTTTGCAGGAGGCTCTGCAGAGCGTGGTCACTATGGACAGGGAAGGCAGCGGGACACCCACAGGCCGGACCGTCCTGGCTGCTCAGAGCTGCGGACACAGACGGTGGCAGGGCCACCTTGGGCGTGCACAGCGGGCAGGCGGCCAGGGACCGGAGCCCCACCCTGCGATGAGCCGCACGCGGCGCCGAGCCCCTGAGTCGCCTGTGGAGGTGGCATCTGAACCCACGGGAACTTGCGAGGTGCCCAGGAGAACAGCGGGTCGGAGGTCGCAGAGCCCCCGGCAGCCGTGGGCTCGTCCGGGGTCCGGGACCATGAGCCTCGGGGAGGGCGGCAGGCGGGAGCCGCGGTCGGGCCGGGGGCGAGTTCTTCCCGTGGGGGTTTGGGCTCCAGGCAGTGTGTCGGCTGATTCTGAGACAGCAGCTCCCCGTTTTATGTGAAGGCTCCCTGAGCAGGGGCTCATCGCTCCGTGGACTCTCGCTCGGACGTTCTTTTCTTTGCGGCGTTCTCATTGTCGTTAGTGCCTTTTACGTGATCTTATCACAAACGCTGAAATCGGCAGGGAGGAGCAGCGGACAGGGTGGCTGGTGAGAGGGTGCCCGTGGCTCCGTGGGCCCCGCATGGAGCGTGGGCAGCGCCCCGCCCCTCCCCCGTCACTCGCACTGTTGCCGTTTTCCCTTTTTTAGTACCATCCCTTCTTAGTGTCCCAGCTGCTCTTTCAAGAGGCAAAGTAAGGGGACTTCTCTCTGCATTTTGGCAAGAGAGAGCTGGTTGGGGCGGGGGCCCTGGGGCCTGGGATTCCCAGACCTCCTCGCCGAGTTCGAGGCGCGTCACTGGGGCGCCCGCGTCACTGGGGACACCTCTGGAGGAACCCGGTGTCCCCCTCCTCCTTGGCGGCCCTCGCCCCGGAAGCGGGCCCTTTCCTGTGCCACGCGTGCTCAAGGGGCTTCCCTGCACAGGGCGTCTGAGGAGGCCAGGCTGTGAAGAGCCGCAGCCTGCGGACAGGGTTCGCCTGCCCTCAGAGCCGACCGAGGCCCTGCGGTGCGGAGGCGGCCGCGCCTGGGATGCGTGTTTCTGAAGTGCACGGGTCGTCAGGCCAATCAACCTGTTTAAAAAAAAAAAAAAAAGTGATGTGTTTTTCAAGATGACGTTCAATGTAGTGTTTAAAAGCTTTGGGTTTTGAATAATTCCTATCTGCCAATTCCCTACCAGTTATTTTTATAGTGAATGTTTCTTGACAACTTGGATGAGTTTTTTAAATGGTTGCTGTCAAAAAGGTTTTTAAAATACCCGTTTCTTTCCTTTCTGCGTTTGATTCATTCTGCCCCCATGGGAACCAAATACTAAACTCTGTTTCCATAACAATTTTCTTCCTTTGCAAGAATATCTGCTTGTTGGGGTTGGGCTGTTGGGGCTGAATTCTTCATAGGCGCCTGGCTGTGGGTTTTAGAAAAGCAGAGCCTCTCAGCGGAATCGCTGGAAAAATGGAAACAAAGAGTTAGTGTCAAGAACACGCTCACGCGTGGGGACAGTGGCCCTGGGTGCACGTGTGGGACACAGGCCTGGTGGAGGTCACGGTGGGGCGGGGCCCGGGCCCGCGTGCAGGAGCGTGGCGTGCTGTCCCCACACCCCCACGGGGCTGTCCTGACGCCCGTCTGAATGATCTCTTCCAGTGTCCTGGGACCGGCAGTGACCTTCAGAGTGAGCGCCAACGTCCAGAACGTGACAGCGGCGGATGTGGCTAAGGCAGCAGGTAAAGCTCTTTCAACATGACATGCATGTCCATGCTCACATGTGTGCACACACATCATGCATATGTGCACCCCAAGACGGGGGTGGAAAGGACAAACGGTCTGCGTGGCGCCCTGTTGTTTGTGGAGGAGACAGCAGGTTGGGAGTGGGCCACCTAACCCGGCTTCAGGGGGCGCCGGGGCAGCGCCCGCAGGTAGAAGGCCCGGGTGCAGAGACGGCGCCGGCGTGGATGGCCAGGTGCGGGCTGGCCTCTGGTTCCCCTCTGACACCAGGCAACGAGCTCCAGCCTGAGTCCCGCCTGTGGCAACCCGAGACGTAACACAGGACGGAGGTTTCAGCAGGAACAGGGCACTGGGTCGCAGCCCGTGGCTCTGCTGGTGGCCGTTTTCCTGACGGGGGCCCTGCGGAGAGGCCCGGAGGCTCCCCGTTCCCCGTGGTCACAGCGCAGAGAGTGCTGCTGGGACGGCCCGCGCCTGCTGTCTCTGGCCTCAGCTTCCTGGCAACTTTGTGAAACGCGCTGCAGAGCCTCCCTGCCCCGTGAGAAAACATGGGACGCGCCCCAGCACCTCGGTTTGGTGCTTCGCGGGCCCTGGCATGACTTGGCAGTGGCGACGGCCGTGTTGTGAGGTCACTCGTGAGACGCTCACCGACCCAGGGTAGCTGCTTGATTTGGAGAAAATACCCAGCTCCCCGTAGGGGAGAGGTCCCCGCATTTGCCCTGTGAGCTTGGTCTCTGTCCAGGGAACAGAACCCGGAGTGAACCAGCTCCAGCCCCTTCTGGCTGCGGCCGGATTTCCCCAGCAGGAAATCTCGGTGCCCTTTGCGCCTTATTTGCTGAACGTATTTATTTTGGGGGCCACCTACTTTGCATTAAAGGAGAACTCGTTGCAAAGCCGCCTGCTCTTGAGAAAGCTGGCAGATCTGAGCTCTGCGAGCCGACCCCCGGCTTCCTTTCATGGTCGTGCGTCACCATGACGTGGGCTCGGGGGCGGCTCGCAGAGACCTGGTCCTCGGGAGCGGAGCGGCACGCTCCCCCGCAGGCTCTCTGAGTGGAGGGCCCGCCCGTGTGGGTGGCCGGCCCGGTGGCCGCGGGCTGTGTCCTTCCCCGTGTGGCGTCCATTTCCCGGTGCTGGGTCCCCGGCGTCCGTGGCCGGGCCTCGGGTTTCATGCAGAAACAGTGGCCCCACCATCGGCCACTCATCCTCGTGCTGGGAGGCGGGGCTTTCAGAGTGTGGTCGGCGTGAATGAAGCAGCACGAAACGAAGCCTCTCTGAAAAGTCATGCGACGTACCCACTGGCGTGGGCTCTCGTGGGCTTCCTTGCTTTCTGGGGAGAGGGGGCTGCTCGTTTGAACTCTCCTCTCCTGGTCTTGTAAGCCGCGTCCCTCTCAGGCGCTAAGTGCTGTTCCGGGGGAGCCAGACGTGAGGTGCGCACGCGCCATAACAGTTTTCCAGACACTTGCGTTGGCCCGGTTCTGTGAGTGCATTTACAGCGGCTGTCACAGCGGCGCTCAGCAGCCTGTGAGGGATCGATGACGTGCGTGCACAGATAGAAATTGCTTCCTTTTATATTCTGAATAATTTTAAGATGTTAGGAATGTACAGGATGCTGTGCAGAAAGATGGTCGTGCAAACTCAGTTTGTCATATAAGGATCTTTATGGGGGGCCCTAGAAATACCCCAGAGCAGCGGCACCGGGACGTGTCTGCGGCGAGGGCGGCCAGGAGGGCAGTGACCTCGCTGAGGGCAGCATCCATGGAGGGCCAACTCCCTCGCGCACCAACGAGGAGGAGCTTTGAACTCAGAAGGAATTTCTTTCTGGTTTCTCACTTTACAAGATAGTGCGGAGTCTCAGTAGTATGGCTGTGGCCTGCCTGGCGGTCTTTTGGGCAGACCTGCTTGCGGGGGCCGTGGAGGGGCTGCTGTGTGTCCCCAGCTCCTGTGGGACGCGGCCAGTGTCATGTGCAGCCGTGCAAACCCACGATGGTCTGCACTCCAGGTCCTTGCCGCTGGGCGTGGCTCTGCTGGTGGCTTGCACCATGTCGCGGGGCGCCCAGCGGGCCCGCCCTGGTCCCCCGGCCCTCACTTCCCACCTTTCCCCTCGTCACAGCTCCCCGGTGCCCACCGAGGGGGACTCGCCAGGCCTCAGTGTGCACAGGCCGGGAGCTGCTGGAGCTGTGTTTACAGGGTCGCTGTGCGTGGCGTCCAAATCACGGTGGGTGAGCGAGGGCGGGGGACAGTGTCCTGGCTGCCATGCCCGCCTGGGCTGTGCTGACCGGGGGCTGAGAGGCTGCAGACACCGAGTCCAGACGGACTTGCAGGCGTGACTGGGGCAGAGAGGGAATGTGGGCCGGAAAGACAGGAAGGTCGTGTCCCGTCGATTGTGTGAGGAGGCAGGGTTTTCCGCGACGGTGCGGGGACGCGGCGCGCTTGGAGTTGGACTTGCGGGTGAGGGCAGTTGGGAGTCCGTTTCTGCGGCTCTGGCCAGACCCCACGGAGGCCTCCAGGGACCTGGCGCTGCGAGGGCTCCTGCCCTGCGCACCTCTGGGAGGAGGGGCAGCCTCCCAGTCCCCAGAACCGCCCCCGCCTCTTCCCTCTTTTCTCCGTCCCCCCCGACCACGTCCCTCCCAGCCCGCTCGCTGCACGTGCCACGTCCCTCATGGTGCCGGGGAGCCATGAACGGGACAAACCCAGGGACTGAGAAGCGTACAAGTTCCGCCCCCAACCCCAGGGACTGCCTGTGGGGGGAGCGTCTGGAAGGGAGGCCGAGGTGGAAAACCCCCAAGAGACTGAGGGGTGTGGGGTGGAGTCTGCACTTCACCTGTGGTTCGTGCGCGTTTCTGGACACTCAGAAACGGGTGGTGGCTGGAGGGGAGCTGAGGAAGCGGTGCAGAGATCTTGGGGTCACCCAGGGAACAGAGACTCAGATGGGGGCGGTGGCCGTGCGGCTGGTGAGGAGCCGGCGGGGGCGTCCTGGTGCTGGTGACGGGGGTGGGAAGAGTCTGGGGCAGCCCTTTCCGCCTGGTCCGTGGGTGAGGGTGTTTGCTGAGGTGGGACCATGTGGGTGGACACACTCGGGACATGGAACCCACGTCGGGGGCCCGTGAGGCACCGGGAGGACAAGGGGCCTGCGCTGCCGTCTGCAGACCCGCGCTGGAGGGGCCGACGGCGCCGGGCACGTGCAGCCCCGAAGCGCCTGCCGCCGGGCAGAGCCGCGGCCGGGCCCCCGGGCCTCAGTCCAGCCCCGCTTTAGCCAGGGCAGGCTCCCGTGCGAAGGCGCGGGAACACTGGTGTGCGGGGGGCCGCGTGCCCCGCGGACGGCACCGCCCAGGGACCACTGCGGGGGGCTGCCGCCTGCAGCCCTTGGCCATGGCCCCGTCGCGCCGGCTCAGGGGTCGTGGCGCCGTGGCCCCCCCGGTGGCCGTGACAGCTGCTTGTGTGGGGAGGTGAGCCGCATGCAGGGACAGGGAGCTCGAGCAGCAGCTGTGTCGGTGACGGGGACACCCCCGGGCCTCGTGGGGACACTGAGCAGCCACCCCGGCTACATGGGCCCTCAGCTCTCCTGCTTAGCAGGCACATTGAACTTCAGTCCTTCTGAGACACCGGGGGTGTCATTGCTTCCATGGCCGCCGTGACTCGGTGCACGAGGGACGTTTCTGCTTATTCCCGTCCGTCACCTTCGCACGGGACCTGAGAGCCTTTGTGCCCGTTTGGGCGGCTCCTTGGGAACACAGGGCCGTGGGCCGCGGTGCAGCTTTTAAAGCCATTGCTGCAAGGAGGCGAGAAGGAGGAGCCTGCGGGCCACCTGGGCGCCAGCGCGACCCCAAACCCAGGGGACCGGAGCCCCCCCCACCCTCCTCCGTGGGGCTGTCAGAGCCGAGAGGATGCGACGGCTGTCAGCTGCCTTCTGGGAGTCCCACCCACACTGGTCCCCATGGCAACCGACAGCGAGGAGCAGCAGAGCGCGATGAGGGTGTTCCGTGGCTGCTCCACGCGGGCCCGGGGCAGCGGCCGGGTGCGGGCATCGTGGGGTCCGAGTGGCCGGGCACTCGCGGCCCAGCGCTCCAGACCCGGCTGTCCGGGGGCACGGTCGCGGGCCTCTCCGCTGGGCGGCTCTGCCGCCGAGCTCCAGGCTTCCCCGCTGGGGCTGCCCTGACGTTGCCATCTGACAGCCTCTGCAGCACCGACCACTGAGGAGACCCCTCCCTGGGGCCATTGGTGCCTCTCTGCACTTGTTGCTCCCCGACGGGCATGTGTGTGTGTGTGGACCCTCTGGCTCATTAGGCCTCAGAGCAAGTGGCAGCTGTGCTGAGCCAAGCAGATTAGTGAGTGGTCACCTGGCCCAGGGGGGACCCGTGCGCTTCCCGGCGCGGGGGCAGGAAGCCCGGTGTGCACGGAGGGCTGCGGTCAGCAGCCGCTGCCAGCCAGCGGGGGGCGAAGCCACCTCTGCCTCGTCCGGCTCCTTTCCACCTGCTGCCCACGTTTCCCTCCTGTACGGGGAGGCGAAGGCTCCGCCGGCCGGTCCTTGAAAACGGCGGCTGACTCACGGCCAGGCTGGCTGGCGGGCTCGACACGCTTCCCCCCAAGGAAACGGGGCGGGGTGCCCCGGGCTCACCTTTGGGGTGGCCCTGTAGGTCCCATGTTGTGGGGCAGCTCGGCGCAGTGGTAGCTGCACCAAGCGCAAGTCTGTGGAAAGAACAGAAGGGGCTCCCCCAATGACCTTTGAACCCAGCTGGGCCGCCGCACCCTCCCCTCCTGGCAGCCCTGTCTTTTCAGCAAGGCCAAGGGCGGGACCGTGTTCTGACTGGGAGGTGGCACCTGCATCCCCATTTCGGTGACGGGCTATATAGCAGGTTGCCCCTAAGTGACACAGGTTCCCAGACCCAGTGTCCACTCTGCCGGGTCAGGACAGCCAAGGTGGGGCCGGACACATGGCGGTGGCGGGGTCGGGGGGAGGGCTCAGAGCCGAGTCCCAGGCTCGGCAGCTCGCGGCTGCGGACGC